TGTATTAGCCTTTAAATTAAATTGCATTTTCCCAGATACCAGACCTGACTGTTAGACCTCAACTTTTTCTCTCTTCTTTTGGCTACAGTAAAATACCAATTTCACAAAACCAGAAACACTCTTTTGTTCTTCAATGTGCCTTCTCTCAGCCGGCTTAGCACCTCCGCGGAGTCGATCGGCACTGGACCAGGCGGAACGCTTCCCGTCGTGGCGTTCTTACCTCTAACCGGCGTGGCGCCTCCCCCTGTCCAGAGTGGCCACAACGGAGTTTGGAGTGGACTTCTAACGATTTGGTGGCACCCAGAGGCGGACGCAGACTTTAAGGAATGCGGGGGCACAAACTACGGTCAACGGTGAATGTCGAAAGTCAACGGTCAAATCAATATTTAACCAACTAAAAAATTAAAAGATTAAAAATTTTGACAAAACACATTGTTTCTTATTTAATAGCTAGAGTTGAGTCTCTCATTTCCATTTAAGAATAGAGACACATTTGATTCAAGAAAAATGCTACATGTACATAATAAATGTACATAAAGATGTACATAACACTCATATGGAGTGGGGTCCACTTGATTTTTTAATTTTAGTGGGTCCGACTCAATGTGAGTGTTATGTACACCTCTATGTACAACATTATGTACCTATATCATTACTCTTGATTCAATCCTTATATGGTATATACATTCATGTATAATATTTTTTTTATGTTTTTCAATTTTGGGAGAGAAAAAAAAAACAAGAAGTTGAGTATAGCATAAATATAAATTCCACAACATAAAAAATAACATACTATTGAATGTTAAATAATTCTAAATATTTTTTTTTTATATTGAAATAACTTTGCATAATAACTAATAACATATATTTTTTATATCAAGATAATAATACATTTATACATTTAATATATATACATATTATATTACACAAAATTCTACAGGGGCCTGTGCCCCTACGGGCCCCTATGTAGATCCGCCACTGGTGGCACCCGTTGTTGGCACCAATTACTGCCTGGGAGTGGCAAGGTGAAACCAACGAATTCTTCTTCCTCGTCTCCTATCTTTTTCCCTGGTGTTGGGTGCATAGGTTGTTCCGACGACGGCCTTGGTCGCTGGTTGGTGTGGGTGGAGGGATTTGTCGCAGGGATTTGGTCGCGGTGATCTTTTAGGGAGGATCTGGTCCTTTTTGTTGTAATAAAATTATATGTGAAATGAGAGTTGTATTATGTAGGAATCCTTAGATATGATGGTGTGTTTAATGTTGTAAGTAAATAGAAAAATTAATATGAATGTCCAAATTAATTTTGAAAAAAACATAACTGAACATAATGTTTGTTCGGTTTGAGAAGTGAGAATGAAACTCTTAGTTTCATTAGTTTTGTCTTAATGAAGCATTAAAGCTTCTCATTTTCATGGAATGCAAGCATAGATTATGAGCACTAAAAAAGTGCATGAAGTTTACGAGAGGAGACACACCAAGATAGGAAAAGAAAAGGAACGTGAATATATATTCTCTTTCATCTCCCACAAGAAGTGTAAGAAAATTAAGGGTTCTTGGCGACTGAGCTTCTGATCGAGGTGAGTGTGTTAGATAGTGCAGTCTTCACACTTTGAGCCGTCTTATCCTGGGAGAAAAGGCGTAGTACTCGTTGCACAGTATCAGGGCGTCTGTTTCTTCAAGGCAAACATATTATTTCTGTGATTCGGTTATATGTGTTCTATGACAATATAGAACTGTCAGTTAAGTTATTTATTTATATTATAAACTTATTTATTTACTAATAGAAATCTAGTTTCATCTCACGTTCCCGTGGTTGATGTTTGTGGTTTCTATTTTCAAATTCTAAATACGTATATGTGTTGAAACTCGTTCTTAATTCGCCTTTTATAATTTATTTTTCCAACAATCTTGAAGAAACAGATTTTTTGATTAAAACGAGATTTGTTTTTTTTCAAAAGTGTTATACGTATTTGTTTTACTATTTTTTTTATCATTATGGCAAGTGGTTCTGGCACCATATCAATTAATGCTATGTTGAATTCAAAAGTCGATTTATCCGGCTTACCTGAAAAATTTTCGGGGCAATTTTTTAAACGTTGGCAACAACGAATGAAAATTTAGCGTACGATGAAAGGAATTTTGACGATAATTCAGGTGGCTAGGCCTGAACCAACTGATAATGATCCCAAAACTACTGAAATTGCTCAGTGGAACGAAAGAGATCAAATTGTTCGATGAGCTATTTTGTCAGCTTTGTCAAATAAGCTCTTTGATGTTTATTGAATAAATTCGTACACTGCAAAGTCGTTGTGGGATGAGTTGGACAAGAAATATAATACTGAAGAGCAAGGTCTCGAAAAGTATTCTGTTTCTAAGTTCCTAAAATATCAGATGGCTGAAGGAAAGTCTGTATCTGAGCAGACACATGAATTGATCAACTTGGAACATTTCCTCGCTGATGCTGATATGAAACTTCCTGAAAAGTTTTTGATTATGTCAATTATTGATAAATTTCCAAAGTCATGGGAAAGTTTTGGAATGTCGTTGAAGCATCAAAAAGGGAGATTGACCTTGGATGATTTAATGATATCAATCAACATAGAAGAAGAACTTCCAAAAGAAGTTCATAATGTGCCATTTGAACCTAAGGCTAATATAATAATGGGAAAAAGAAAAGTGAACCATGCAAATATGAAAATGGCCAATAAAGAAAAGGCTAAGGCTAATAATAAGAAACCCAAAGCAAACAAACCATGTTGGAACTGTGGACAGGTTGGACATTGGATTAAAGATTGTCCGACGAAGAAAGCTAAGGTCAAATCTGGGCCTGTTGAACAACTGTTGGCGAATATGGTTGTTGGGGAACCTAGCAATGCTAGTGCTCCAGAGACAACTATTGACGAGTTTGTTTCTTTACAACCTGAGCTTTTGAATGTCTATGAACCGTTTGATTGGTTAATAGATACTAGAGCAAATGTGAACATCTGTGCTGATAAATTGCTTTTTGTGTCTTATCAGCCAATTAATGGAAAATTCGTAGCGATGGGGAACTCAAGTGCGGCCAAGGTGTTTGGGGTAGGATGTGTGGACTTGAAGTTTCCTTCAGGGCGCATTTTATCTCTACAGAGGGTGCACCATGTCTCAACAATACGAAGAAATATTATTAGTGGTTCTATGTTAGTCCAAGAAGGTTATGAGCTTTCGTTTAAATTGAATAAAGTTGTAATTCAACATTACAATTTATTTATTGGCAAGGGATATTTATCTGATGGTCTATTTAAAATTCGTGTTGATTATTCTGGTTCTGGTAATAAATTTGATTTTGTAGATTCTATTGTTATGAATGTTACAGAAAGTTCTTCTGTATGGCATAAGCGTTTGGGTCATTTAAATTATGATTCTATTAAGA